AAAAAATATTTGATGCTTCCGCACTAGATGTATTTAGTTATAATAAAATTAAAGTTTATTTAAAGTGATTTTATTTCATTGTGGCATCATCTGTCAACCTATGCATTTCTTTGTATGTCAAAGTTCCCCAACCCATGAGGCCTCACTGATGGAATGAGTGTATAACTCCTTCAATCTTTTCCAGTTTACATCGTTTTCATGGTGATTGAGTCCAATTTTCACCGTCAGAAATAAAATACTGGCCATTTTGAAACTAGGTTTTATGTAAAAAATTATGAATGAATCATATCTTTGTTGTTGTTGATAGTTCTCTGAATGACCTCAGTTTGGAAAAACTGTGTTGAATTCCGCCAGGACTGATGAGCTAACGGCTGGTCTGAATTCAAGGGTAAAATGGATTGTCAAGTAGCAGGAGTAGCAGCAGCTAGCTGTAGCACTTCCAGTGCCGTCTGCTATGGGCAAGAAATTCATTTGATTTATGCAGAAACAACTGAGTAGTTCAAAACTGACGACTGATGTAAGAGTTTTGAAAATGGTGTTTGCATGAAACACTTAAATTTTTTTTGTGTTTTTAAAGATGGTAAAATCTTTGAAAGTGAGTCTGCTCAGATTGTATTGATGAGCTTCTTCTTCTTCTTTTGGGCTTTTATTTTTTCAGGGGTCTCCACAGCAAGTCATCCTCCTCCACCTCACTCTGTCTTCAGCATCCTCTGTCCTCACTCTGTCTACCTCCATGTCCTCTCTAACTGCATCCACACATCTGCTCTTTGTCTTTCTCCTGGCAGCTGCATTTCTAACATCCTTCTACCAATATACCCACTGTCCCTCCTCTGGACATGTCCAAACCATCTCACACTGGCCTTGTAATGGTTTAATGGAATAGACTCACTTCTAATCTGAATGTTGCTGTTTGAAAGCAACTTGAAACATCAATTTTTAATAACAGGAATATCTAGTATTTCAACCTGTGGATCACTGCCAGACTTGCACGTTATTCAGAGTCAGAGTCAGAGTCAGAGTTTCTTTATTGTCATTCGCACCTCATGTGGTACATGTGGTGGAGCGAAATTATGTACACAGGGTCCCAGTTACATCCAACAATAAAATGTATAAGAAAAACAGTAATAACATCTAAGATATGAACTAAGAAATGCATCAACTAAATATACACTAAGCACTCATAACATAAAACTTTGAACATCACCACAAACATGAACATGAGTCTGTGAGCAGATGTGCACGCATGAACACATCAACATTGAAACAGATCAGCAGCAACATGAAACAGATCAGCAGCAACATGATATGGTTTTTCACAGTGATTATTCTAGTTAGAGATCCATGAGTCTAACAGCCTCAGGGTAGAAGCTGTTCCTCAGTCTAGTGGTTCTACACTTAATGCTCCTTAACCTCCTTCCTGAGGGGAGTGGGGCAAAAAGTGTGTGTGCTGGGTGGGTGGGGTCCTTCATGATGCAGGTGGCCCTCTTCCTGCATCTGGAGGTGTAGATGTCTGTGATGGTGGGGAGACTGATTCCAACAGATTTCTGTGCAGCCTTCACCACTCTCTGCAAAGCTTTTCTTTCTGCAGCTGTGCAGCCTCCATGCCACACATTGATGCTCGAGCACAGGATGCTCTCCACTGCACACCTGTAGAAGGAGGTGAGGACTGAGCTTCCCAGACCAGCTCGCCTCAGCCGTCTGAGGAAGTAGAGTCTCTGGCAGAAATATCAAATTACATCCTCATTTCCCCCTTGGCTGCACCTGAAGTTTTACTGTAATGATGAACTGCCAGTTTAACTAGTAACAGAAACAAACATGACTAAGAAACATGAAATTAACTAAATGGCTTTGGCAGAAATAAACAAGATAACTGAAGCATACTGATAACATAAATACCAAGAACCTCCAAATTACGACAACTACATCAATCAACCTTTATTTATACAGGTAAATCCCATTGAGCCTCGAGGACTCATTTACAAGAGAGACCTGATTTCAACAAAGAAAGATGACAACAATGGACAACAGCAACAACAATAAGCAGTTATAAAAACTCATACTACAGTTTTTTTTTTTTTTTTTTTTTTACATATTAATATTAATATTAATATTACATATTACTCTTGTTTGTGGCTTCATAAAAAAATGACAGAATTTTATGTGAATAATTGTTCATATCTTTATAAACAATAAGTTTCAAAATGACCAGAGTATTTCTATAAGTTTTTATCTATTTTCACTTATCTGCTTGACCATAAAGTCTCTTTATATTGAGACCTGTCTGCAGGGGTCAGCCAGACTTTGAGTCACAAAAGCTGTGCCTGAAATATTCTTGTTACCGTTGAGCATAAAAATAGGCTCATCTGACAGATGCGTCACTGAAGAGGGTAAAAATGTCATCAGTGCATAAGCTTGAGGCCTAAAACAGATCAGAGTTGATCACAAGTGTTTGGAGAAGCTGTTAGGAGTGTCTCTTTATTCAGACAGTCATGTCTCAAACCTCATTTGGTTCACCATCATACTTTGCCTAATTTGTGATGCATCATTTGATGTCTTATCATCATTCCAGTCAAAGTTAGACCCCTTATTACTGCTGGCAGAGCATAACCCGCTCTTAATATCCCAAATTAACCATCCTTTATGCTAATTGAATGGATTTCTAATAGCTCTCAGAGAACAGCGCTGAGGTTGAAAGGAAAAAAAAGTGCTAAAATATTTCTGTGCTCACCCACATACCCTGTGGACAAAAACTTTTTTTAAACTACTAAAACACTTAAGGGTGGCAGATTAGGAAACAGAGCACCCCAACAGTCCACTGTGAGTCTCTGTATTCAAATCTAAGCCAATAAGGCCTCTGGATGGGCCACTACTAGTGTAGGCAATAACCTTGGTGATACTTTGTGATTTAAAAAAACAAATCTGGAACATGACCCCTAAGCTGAAAAGTGATGATCAATAATATGTCTTCTGTGTAGCGCATTGCCAAACAGGGCTGAGAAGAATTGACGCTGTAAAATTAATTTACCAGGAAGAGCTCCCTCTTGGCTTTTAAAGCAAGCTGCCTGAGTTGTTCTTGACATATTGCTAGCTATTATTCCTGATGCTTCCCGTGGGGACATTCTCTCTATAAAGTCTTATTCCTTCTCTGAGCCACCAGCATGCTTGTTAAACACACACACACACACACACAAACATATTCACACCCGCACGTTCTTGTAAATGTTCTATTTGGGGACTTTGCATTGACTTCTATTCATTTTCTAAAGCCTAACCTTGACCCTTTCCCTAAACCTAACCATTACTAGTACATGCCTAGTACTAGTATTGGTAAACTAGTACTAGGCAACTACTAGTGAACCTAACCCCCTAATGAGACTTATCCTTTCACTTTGCCTTCTCCTACTCCGCTCATGTTTCCTGGAATATCTTGCAAAAAGAGCTGAAGCTCTCGACCTTGACCTCTCTAAGTGGCTTCAAACATCTGTTAAGTTCCTGGGAAAAACGAATGCAGACATGTTCCTGTTTTTAGTTTATTACATCGCCCATCAACCTAGCTGTTTTTTGTTACATTTTTAATACCATTTTATTTTCCCTTGTTCTCAATTTGCATGCATCCTTTATGATGGTCATTGTTGTCTTTGTTGTCCATTGTTGTCATCACTCTTTGTTAAAACATTCAGGTCTCTCTTGTAAATGAGTCCCTGAGGCTCAATGGGATTAACCTGTATAAATAAAGGTTGAATGAATGAATGAATGAATGAATCCTTATGGGGACCTGGCTTTGGTCCCCACAATGTAGGATTTTTTGTAAAATTGGTCCCCACAATGTAACCTGAAACAAAAATGTACGCACACACAATCCTCCAAGAATTTTAAACATAAAAAGCAACACTTTTCAATCTAGTAAATTATGGTTAATGGCTCAATCAAAGAATACACATATAAACATATCTGAACTTTAACAATAAAATGTATCCTTTTGTAGAGTGTGTTGAATAAGCCTTATCTTTTTTGGTTGTTTTTTTTAAGCTCGCTTTGCTTTACTGTAACTTTCTGATCGTTTTTCCTTATTAACGGTTTCTGAAAGCTGAGAAATTGGACTTTGCATGTAATATAGGCTTAGTACTGTAACCTGACTCCAGCTGTTGCAGGAAACCAGTGAAAATGCCCCTCTGTGTCCTTCCCACCACACAGACAGGGCATGTAATGGGAAGCCCGGCCAGCTCTTGTCAAATGCTGAACATTTGAGTGTCCTGGTCCTCCTTGTGCAGGACAAGGGACAGGGGGACAAAATTAGGGACTATCTGACCCAAATCGGGACAGCTGGCAGGTATGTGAGGTAAAACCACCCAGGATTGGCTTGCGCCATATTTGGTCTAGTGCTGGGCATCAGATTGAGTTGGTTTCAACCCAGCAGTTTGTTGTGTGTATAAATGTTCACCTGACATACCATCCATCCATCCATCCATTATCTTTACCCATTTATTCCATTTTGGGTCATGGGGGTCACTGGTGCCCATGTCCAGCAATCACTGTGCGAGGGGCGGGGTACACCCTGGACGGGTCGCAAGTCCATCACAGGGACACATAGAGACAAACGAGACAAACAACCATTCACTCTCTCACTCACACCTAGGGACAATTTAGAGTTACCAATCAGCCTAACATGCATGTTTTTGGACTGTGGGAGGAAACCGGAGTACCCGGAGAAAACCCACGCATGCACGGAGAGAACATGCAAACTCCACCCAGAAAGGCCCCTGGACCGGGGTTTGAACCAAGGACCTGCTCGCTGAGAGGCAGCAGCTCTACCAGTTGCGCCACCGTGCTGCCGGTTTTGCATACCACAGGCAGACAAAGATAAAAAAAACATTTGAGGACATGCATTTATTCATGTTAATAATCTGAATAGGACTTTAGAATTGACCAGTTGTCCTCCAGAAGGGATGTCTTCAAGGATAGATCATGTTGTCGGGACAACAAAGACACATTTATGCATCTTAAGAGCAAACAAACGCATGTTTGTGGCTGCAGACTTCATCACTGACATAATCTTGTCCTGTAAACCAAAGAAATAGTCAAAATACCAGAAGTTAGAATCAGGAATCTTCCCTTGTTTTCTTTCTTCTGAAATTAATAATTAAAAATAAAACAAACTGATAACAACGTGGCAAGACAATGATAAAATCATGTAATACATTATTTAAGCTAAAGTGACCCACACATTAAACTCATTTATGTCGTTCCCATTGGAAACATCTATTTAAAGTGCAGTTATCATCTTGTGTACCATTCATGTTGATAGCCATGCAGTTCTCCTGTTCACCCAAGTTGTTTGGTTCCCCTTTGCCCCAGTGAGTGTAGGAGAACTCAGAGCGATCGCTCCATTTCCACACACCATCCTGTGAGGTGGTTTTCAAACGTCAGTTCTTTCTTTTCATGCTGACTGTGCAAAGTTTTACAGAAAACTCTTTCCACTAGTTAGACTGCTACACAAAACCCTCACTTTTCCCTTGGTGCCTCCAACCCAAGCTGTTGTGTTGGTTCCGGTAGCTCCCACAATGAGGCTCCTGATGAAGTCGTACTCATCTTGGTCATGAAAGGAGGCCAAATGTCCATAATAGTTAACACAGTAATCCTGTGTGGAAAGATGTCAGCATAAACACATCATCACATCTTCATCAATGTAATGAACTAGTTGTAGAGGACTCAACTAACATGGCAGTAATAACCTATTTGTGAAGTCTCTGATTAAAACTGGTCTTCATGAGTAGAACTATCAGGTTGGCGACTGATTCGAGCTAAAAATGTCACATCAAGGAATGTCCATGATGAACACATTACTGCTTTACATCATCTACAGGGGTCTAAAACAGCACTACGTAAAAATGCAATTGGGTCTAACATAAGAAACACTGTTTTGCACCATAATATCATTATCAAGAACAAGATATTAAGTAATTAAAGATTTATCTTGTGACCAAGGAACATCAAGTAAAAATCATAATTGAAGGAATAGCCGCTCTTAGTTTCTATAGTTCTGCTTCTCATTTGAGGAACTTTCTTAGTACAAACTGTAACAATGCAGAGTTTTAACTTTAGAAAGTCTGAATCTAGACCAACATGTCACACAAGTACGATGAACAAACAGTTTTACATCAGCATCACTCCAGGTCATTTCAGTGCTTGTGAACAGGTAACAGCGGCCTCGATGTAAAGTCCATGAAGTACCGCAGGATTTACAATTTCCTGAACAAAATTCTGCACAAACAGAAGAAAAAAGTGACTTTTATTAAATATGATTGAAAAGTAATGATCAAAAAACTGTTTTTAAAAATGTGACACTATTGCATAAAATATTCTATTCAATTAGTTTTGTTTATATAGCGCCATGTCCCAACAGGAGTTGTCTCAGGGCACTGTACAAAAACATTCACATCCATTATGAAAGCCAGTTAGTAAAATAACAGGTACAAATCCAACAATGTTCAGTCAGGTCATCAGTTTTTTTTTTTTAGAAACATTTCGCCCTCCATCCGAAGTTCTTCATCAGTCTGTGGAATCTCAAACAAACTGTTTTCCCCACTAAGCAGTACACTCTTATAGTGGACCAACCAGTTTGCTGGTGATAAGATGGTTTCTGGGGGCTGCATTTTGTGGTTTCATGGATGGCCTAACACAAAAAAGCTTCTTGTTCAGAATGTCTGGTGCACTTTTTTAAAAACTTAACCAGAAAAAAAAAAAGAAAAACACCAACCTGATTGTGCATCACAAAGTATCTGTGGATGTAAAAAAGCACAGAGTCAGAAACAATTTCAACCTGTTTGTTGTGAGCATGGATGTTGATCACAAAAGGTGACGAGTACCAACGATATTTATGCAGAAAATTTCATTCAAGTTTTGTTTCCACTTGTTTTGCTAAAACATATTTCAAAGGTCCAATGTTTTCTTTTCACAATAAAAGAAGTAATTCCAAGAAAAGCAACACTGAAGAGTATTATGTTCATTTAATTGACTTAAAAATGAATATTTTTGAAAACGTACATTTCCTCCGATCCCCAGTCCACTAAGGAGCAACAAGACGAGCAGACTTGACGGCATCTGTGCAAACATTAAAATTAATTTACAGTTCAGACAGAACCTTAGAGTCAAAATGATTTGATGCAATGTGTTTTAAATGGACTAAAGGTTTTAAATGTCCTAATACAGTAGAAAAAAATAATTTAGCTTTTGTTGTTTTTGAGCATTAACTTCATTTTAACACTAAGGCTTTACAATTAAAGTCTTGTTACTATTTTACAACAGATAAATATAATCAGGCCTAGACTGACTTTTTTTCTTTATATATTGTTGGAGAAGAACAGTCAGATTTTACCTTGTGATGTTTGGTCCAAGCAGCAGTAGCAGTAGCAGCAGCAGCAGTAGCAGCAGCAGCAGCAGCAGCAGTAGCAGCAGCAGCAGTAGCAGCAGTAGCAGCAGTAGCAGTAG